ATATATGGCACTGTATAAACGATACTGTATGTACAACCCATATATATATATATATGGCACTGTATAGACGATACTGTATGTACAACCCATATATATATATATTTATATATGGCACTGTATAGATGGTACTGTATGTATAACAACCCATATATATATATGGGTTCATATTATCCAGCCATAGTTGGTTTCTTTCCAGGCGTTCTGGTGATACAGAAATATAGAAACTTTATTTGCAAAATCATGACCGAAGGCTAATGGACCGTTCCATAAGCCACGCCCCCCTTAGCAATGCCCTAGGAACTCGAACACCTCCGTCAAAATCAGCGCGGGAAGGGCCGTACCGACTGCCGCCGCCAGAATGTCGGATTTGCAGCCCAACTTTACGGTCGATTTTTCAGCAGCGAAAAACTCTCCCAGGAGACAAAAAAAATGGTTAAGCTATATTTGTTGAACGGTACATCCGCAGAGTAGAATTATTCTAGGAGGGGACAGGGGTAGTTTCAGTGAGAGCAAAACGTTTTCGCTCAATACAGACGTGGGATTGGCCGCATAACATCACACGGTAGGTGGACAAGAGTGCCCGGTTACTGACTAACAGCCGATACATGTGTGAAACAGAGTACGTTTATCAGTAACAGGTTTTCCATGGAATTTGCTGAATGCATCACAGCTGCATACAAGCTTCGGAAAAAACGAAATGGGAAATAAAAATTAACGGGGACTCACGAGGGAGGGCGCAACTTATAAAGGGATTTGTGGTACAAGTAGAAAAATAAGCACGCAAACACGGACATAAACAATAGTGATAGCTTATGAACAACTGGAAGAATAACAGAATGTCCTCAATCAACTTGAAAGTGCATGCAATGTCACAAATTCAGTTTCACATGGAAAACAAGGAGTCTTTATCAAGCAGACATCAATTCAGTTTGCTGCTTTTAGATTTCCCGCGCTGAGTTTGACGGACGTGTTCGAAATAGAACAGGGATTCGAAATAGGATTCAATGCGTTCGATCTAGAACGGTCCATTGCTTTTACAATCAAGTATAATACTCATTGCAATACATATGATGGTTGGAGTTAAATGTCTGAGACAATCTAAATTTTAGTTACAGTGTGAAGAAATTGATTCACATTAAATATGATTTTCAGATTACTGAAATATACATGTAACATTTTATACAATCTTTATTAACACAACAAAAGTACAGCAACTTTCATAAAAGGTCCGCTACAACTATACAGTCATACAAGTGGATACAAATAAATTAATAGAATATATCAGGTACCATGATTGTACTTGGAAAAACTTAAACACACCAAATGAGTCATGCCAATGTCATCCAATACATATGCCAGATACAAGTTTCATGCTGAATCACTTCTTGTAGCCATTATTTACTTACAAGTTGCTGCTCTATAACAGTATATTAGTTTTACATTCAATTCTTTCCATTCAATTCTTTACAATATAATGAGTCATATTTCAAAAGGGAACAAAATGGCGGCCATGTTCATGTAGGGACTTTGACCCTTAATAGTTTAGTGTTCTATTTCAATCATATCGTGTTTACTTTAGAGATTACTATAACATCTATGTCAGTAAAGCCAATATAGAATGATCTTACAGGTACAGGGAAAGACAAGATGGTAGAAAGCTCACCTGTTTGTTGTAAAGTTGGGTGTGGAACTTGGATCCCCAGTATCTAGATCTGTTCACTCTGGGTACTTGTTCAGTCAGAGTGTGTCCAGAAGCTTTGGTTAATATTAACCAGTCTGTTTCCCTAGCTAAGGTCACACGTACACAGTCACATGATAGACCCTGTACCTTGGAAATTCCCCTAGCTTTATTCAACTGAAGTACAACAAACAGTACTAGTGGACTAGTAACTGTAGGACTGTGACCCTTTCCAGTAGTGTGCTTGTCAGGAGAGTTGCAACAGCTGGGATTCAAACTCTGGACTACACGTTTGTTAGAATCATTCTTTATTCATGAAAAGCTCAAATTGGCCTGCAGGCCACTTTTCATTGAGGTCATGAGGGAAGAGGTGATAATAAGGTCAGACAAAGTATATCAAAAAGGCATTATGAGCTCAAGGACTGAATTTATTTATCAGTGTCATTGTTTATATATAGTTTCCCCACCAGTACCCACACTGCAAGAGTGCAGCCCTGTATATACGTTATGTTATGTCCTACCTGGGCCGCGATTACGTTCGATACGGGTGTTCCGGCCCGTGTGATAACTGGCGGTACGGCCCGGGGGTTCTTAACGCGTACGGCCCGGGCCTTCCAAATGTTCCATAGAACGATTCGAACGCGTTTTGCCCTAACCGCTTGCACCGCTTTCGAAAATTCGAATACAAAATTCGGAGGTTGGAATTGATGTTGTTGCATTTGTTGGGTTTAGGGACACCAAATTTTCGCTCATTTCGCATTGAAAGACGTGTTTTCTTGGGTTGGTATGACATAAATAAAATACAACACGGTGTATTCCGCATCACCCTCGGTCCCAGCCCTCCCGCGGATCGGATCTCCCTCCGGCCTTCGGGCGATCCGACGCGCGGTCGGGCTGGGACCTCGGGTGATACGGAATACACCGTGTTGTATTCTATATTTATATATTGGTTCCCAACATTTGAATCTGCACACATTTTACTCCCTCTGTACAATGTAACTGCTTGACTGCAAAGAACAGTTGTTTGCAAATGGTATTTTCCTGATTGACATTAAAGTCACCTGTATCATTTCCTGGCAACTTAACTTAAGCAACTGTGTTCACTTTGGTTTTAAAAGATGCTGACTCAGAGGTTAGTATAAGTACCTCAATGTGTCTGCGTTTATTTTACCCTCTGATGTGCCTGAACCTGCCAAGTTTTCATGATGCTGACTGACTGACTGGTCTGCAGTTGTTGTATTTGGCTTTATCATGTCATCTACAGTCATGATCGTACATTTGTACAGTAATATTTTGTACATCAGGGGCTTTTCTAAACAGGGGAATAAGGGAGCTGCTCCCTCATGTAACCAGCCAGCTCCCTCATGCCAATTTTCAAATTGAACCCAATGTGGCTACGTATACACCATTTAGTCTTTCTCAAAATAATCTTTTTCCAGTAAAGATGTAAAAACAATACAACAATGCATTCTAGCATTACAAACTGTGTTACTCATATTAAAAAATCCCCCCTCGGTTGCTTCGTTCCTTGTCATGCTTGCGATTTGCTCCCTCGTGCTAAATTTTTCTAGAAAAACCCCTGAACATGACCAGCCTGGTGCAATGTAAAACCTACAATTAACTTTTTCGTTCAAGAAAATCACATGTCCAGACACATGCGAATACTTGACTGATCATTCACTACGGACTCCAGGAAGAGTAGTGTGAAAATCACACTAATGGAGATCCTAAACAAACAAACAAGGCAAACTGTGATATGATAATGGTTGTATTCATAATGATTGTAGAAGTGTGTAAAAACAACATTTACAGAAGTACATATAAACAACATTAAATTGACTGAGAAAAGCCTCAAGAGTTTCAAAGCTTAGCAGATATTGTTACAGTATTGGGTATCTAGTATATTATTAGACACATTTTTACAGAGTGGAGGGTATATGAGACCTGTCCTTGGTGCTGACTGTCTTTCTTTTACATTACTGCAACAGTATCTCTATCTCTGTCATGCTGAGTGCTATCATACAGAGCTGTTGCATAGGAAATCTGTTTAGTCACATTTTTCAGGGTGGTGGGTATATGTGACCTGTCCTTGGTGCTGACTGTCTAATTCTCTTTACATCAAAATATCTCTATCTCTGTC